TTTCATTTTTTTTTCCCTCCAACACTTGATGCTATTCCTGAGGGTAGAATTTAAGTAAAAAACACAAAACATCTCTATAAATAATGCAAAAATATTGATTTGAACACATAAATCTTATGTCCTAATGAGGAACACTATAGAACATTTCTCTACACTTACTAGGGAAAAGAAATGATTACATAATACAGAGTTTTTAGTTGGTAATAGGTATTCAATTTGTTGAAGGCAACATTACGAGAACATATAAAAAAGAATAATTTCCAAGATCACTGATCAAAAGAAGTTTCCATCCTAATATATTCCCTCATTATTATTTTCAAACTTCTTGGGCCTGGTATGGTGGCCTGGTGACTGTGTCCTTGCCTTGCATGCACCAGGATCCCATTAGGGATCTGGTTCATGTTCCACATGCCCCACTGCCCGTCCATCCCTGCTTGTGGCCTGGGAAGGTCACGGTGGAGGGACGGCCCAAACCCATGGGACCCTGTACTTGCATGAAGACCCTTTAGAGGCTCCTGGCTCCTGACTTCGGATCAGCTCAGCTCTGGCCACTGTGCCCAATTGGGGAGTGGACTAGCGGACAGACTATCTTTCTGTCTCTCCTTCTCTCTGTGAATCTGCCTTACTAATAAAGTAAATAAATAATTCTTTTTAAAACTTGATTTAACATTTCTCCTAAAATTATGGAATGGATAGGGGCACAGGAATTAATGGTTCATTTAGTATGTCAGTCTGTCACTGAACTTAATTTGTATGTAATTTTATGGACTTTGTGATTAATGTGTTCTATCAATACAACAGCTAATACACTGTCTTCTCTTACATCTTTGGCAAAACAAGTCTCTAAGGAGTGACAGGTCCACTTTCTTAGCTGTAATCTGACTGAAACCAAGCAGAAGTTTGTGATTTTCATACCAATCACAGCCTGGACTTCTCTGAGAATTCATATCAGATTGAATTATACTGCAAACCTGCAGGTTCAGAACTCAGGCCAGGATGTGGATTAAGGCAATATCAAAAACACCTTCTAGTTTAAATTGTAAACTACTTTCTTATCTAGAAAAGCTGCTATTCCAGTTTGTTACAGATTCCTACATTCTCCTTGCTCCTGCATGTAACAGCTTTAAGAAATATTATTAACTGACAAAAGAAATAACTAAAAACACATTACAGATGTTCAGTATGCCACTGTTTATACACGCCAGCTGTGGAATGTTACTACGGTCATAGGCATATTCAAGCAGCTCAGTCGTCTAGGCTATGATGAAAGCATTACCAATTTAAAGAATGCAATATGCTTAAGACAGGCAGAAGCAATTTCACAATATTGTTAGTCATGAACTTGCTCAAACAAGAGGAGAAAGATGAATATTTGAAATAACAGAAAAAAAAACTAAGTCATTCAGTTGACAATGACTGACAGTCAGTCCTGGAGTTGAGCAACATTTTAAAAATGAATGAATGAATGAATTCTTAAATAAAACAGAATGATTTTTTATAAAGAAGAAAATATGCACAGAAAAGATATTCTCTTTCAAGACAGCCATTTGATTCTACTTATATCTTCATGTAAGACAATTGAATAAAATATCTTTATGACATTTATCACACATCTAGTCTGCAGACTTGCAAAGATTAAAAAATGCACAAGATCAGGTAATTGTCCACAAGAAACATGCGTGCATGTGTGTCCACAATTTATTTCAATTTGTAAATATTTCCTGAATATGGTTAAGTGCCAGGAAGATAATGTCCAAAGCTTTATAAACTAATAGTTTAATGAAGGAGACAGTCTTCTAAATAAAACACAATAATTCACTGCAATTCTTAAAATAGAAATTTCAATAAAACACTATGGAGAAATTTGTCAAGCCCTCTTCTCCTCAGTGATTCCTAAAGGTTTGATGCTTGGCCATATACCAAAATGTGGGTTTTACTGAAAATTAAGCAATAAGGACTTATGAAATAGAATAAAATTCACCATGTGCTTAAATAGTGACAGGTATATCACTTTATATTTGTTGACCATGATTCTCCAATTCAAAACAAACCATTTGGTTAGCATATCAACATACGGAAGCACAGTGCTGACTATAGTGAAAGCCTTATTAAATGACCCTGCTGATTGCCAAGTAAGTCACCAAAGTGTCATTAGGGGACAATGACGTCAGAGAGCTTTCCATCAGAAAGGAATAATGCAGAATTTTGTCAGCTTCTAGACAGAAGAGTACAGCACCTCAGAAGGAATACACCATGCACAGTTGGGGGAGTGCCGAAGATCAGGAGAACCGGTGGAATCAGATTTGGGATATTCTGATCCTGACTGATTACATTAAGCACTTTTCAAACTCTACCCTGGTTCAATGGAACACAGGATAAAATCACAACTTCTCCTGAACTCATATAGGGCTCTATTTCCCTAAGAAGTAAGGAATGTTTTAAGAAAAAAAAGGACTGCTCTTAAGAAAATTACTTTTAAGAAGAAAAAAAATCATTTTAATAATATGAATTTAAATACTGTTCTCCTGACCAGAAAACACTGTAATCTGAGTCACTTTAACTCCTTGAGCCACCGGGAGGGCTTCAGAGGAGGGGCATGGTTCAATACACATTTTTAAAATGCTGATTGCATTCCACAACTGGGACAGCAAACTTTTTCTTCAATGATTAGACAGCAAGTGTTTTAGATTATGAGTAAAAAATGCAAAATAAGGAAATTATATATTTACAATATTTTATAGTTAAATATACATCTTCAAATATATGTTCAACGTAATATATTTACACTTAAATTTAAATCATAAATGTGAAAACATCTTTAACTCACAATAAAAAGGCCAATAAAATAATCAAAATTAACAAATAATACCTAAAAACTGTATTCTTAATAACTTGTAAGGGTGCTATTTTTATCACTTTCCAGAAAGACAGGAGGCACAGAGTAGACAAAGAATTTGGTTTATTAAATATTAATTTGTAGATTACAGAATTAGCATCTCCAAACCTTTTGGATAAGAGCAAGCATTATCTGTGACATCCCAAGCAGCGCTCTCACACTCAGATGACATCAATTTACTAACTCCTATTACCAAGGATATCTTAGCATGTTTATAAGACAATTAACATCAGTAATAGTCAATACTTATGATTTCAATGACCTGATATTGGTCCAGGATTTTAAATCTTTGATTTCATTTAATCATCGTAACACCCAAAAGAGAAGGTACTGTTTCCATTCTGTTTTATAAAGCAGCAAACTGATGAGAAAGGAATTAAGTCAGTTCCCTGGGATTCCCCTGCACTACTGCTAAGAATTGGTATATTTAAGTCTCCCTAAAATCAAATTTTTGATTGTCTTCAGGCTCATCTGAATTTTCTCTTTCAATTTGATGGTTTTTTCCTCACTGTTGAGAAATACCTGCTAGTGTTCCTGGAAATGATTTCTGTGTGTAAGAGATCACATCAATAAAAACTAAAAACTAATCACCATTGGTGGAAATCAAAGGGTAAAGTTGGATAACGTTTCTCTCAGTTAAAGTGCAAAATTGATTCAAAAACAATCAAGTCAAGAACAACATCCTGACCAAATCAAAATTTGAATCGTGATACTGGTAAAGCTAACGGATAGTCATACATTAAAAAAGCTTCGCATAAAAAATCCCAAGGGAATGTCATTGGACAGCATGGGCCAAGGGAATCGAGAAAAGCCAGAGGTTTTCCAAGAGGCGAACTCAGACACAACCCCAATGAAATGCCTCATTTGTTATCTTCATCAAGTGTTTCATTGCCACAGAGAAAGGGCACAACTTGCATTAACATTTGATGCAATTACACAGTGCCATCATTCTATTTAGACGGCAAGTAATTTCCCCAGTAATTGTCAAAATCTAGCAATACATAGGATTCTGATTTCTATGTTGACAAAGCTTTGTAAGCTATCCTTTTTTTTTTTTTTTAAGATTTCTTTTACTGGAAAGGCAGAGTTAGAGTCAGAGAAGGAGAGACGGAGAAAAAAGATCTTCTGTTCTCTGCTTTACTCCCTAAATGGACAAAACAGCCAGAATTGGGCTGGTCTGGAATAGAAGCCAGGTCCCCTACATGAGTTCAGGGACTAAGAACTTGAATTATCCTTTTCAAGTCATAAGCAAGAAGCTGGATTAGAAGTGGAGAAGCCATGTTCAAATCCAAGCCCATAAGGGATGCCGGTGCCACAGGTGGATATGCCACCAGGTCAGCCCCTGTAGGTTATTTTAACTTGGTAGAGATGAGTGCCATGAATCAGGAAAAAGGTGGTACCTATGCAGAACTTTTATAGCATTAGCTCCCATTTCTCTCAATGTGAGAACACACAAAAAATTCTGAGTAAAATTCCAGTTTCACGTATCAGTAATCAGACAAAGGCTGATGTCTAGGAGTTTAGCACTCCTTATTACTGCATTTATGTTTTGAAATTCAATTACTTGGTATTCTGTTACACTAAACAGTCTTTAGCGAACTGGTTATATAAACTCCAGACTATAACATCCATTCTCCATGAGTGTACAAGGGCAATTTTCTGAGTTGGCCATAGTGATGAACAAAACCAGTCAATGCTAAATTCAGCGATATGCGCTGTATGACTATTTAGAAACAAAACAGCTAGAATGCATCAGTGTTAAACAATTTTATCAAATGTTTCTTCACTTTAATAATTTCTTCTCTAACACTGTTCTTCAGATTGATTATTGTCATGAAGATGTTAAATTCTATAATAACCCTATCACTTTTATTTCTCATCTTGAAATCTAAAATTCATGAGTCTAGTTTTTTTATTTGGGCAGAGTTCAGTTATCTCTCCATTGTATTAATCTGTCAACATTACTCATATTGGCATCTTTCTTTTCCCAGAATCTAGAGTCCTTTCCCAAATTCAAGTATGCCCACATCACTCTGTGGCAGCATCATTACTTTTTTATATCCTCACGCTCCTCTAATTGAACACACATTCAGCTCAGTCTTACCTTTCGAACATTTGCCAGTCTGTTCATCATCAAGGACTCCTCTCGGTCATCATCGTCATCCAAGTCGAGCATTGGCATGCCAAAAGGGTCAATTATGCTGCAGCACCTAGAGCCTTCATCTCTAGGATCGAAGGGGTCCACGATTATGGGCTCAGTTCCTTTTATTTCACAACGACAGAAGGGGCATCCCTGGCCATCAGATTCCTGAAGAAACAGAAAATGCAACCATTGGTATTTGTTTAAAAAGAAAATATAACGAGAAGTACAATTCTTCCTTTACCTACCAAAAACGTCAAAAAGAGGTTTCTGGGTCGGCAGCATGGAAAATTAGCTTAGACAAGGCAGCAGGAGCATAAGAGGGAGTGAACAAATTATATGATACATATTCAGTGTTTTGCATTTCCAAGAATAATTTTCTTTTATTAAAAAAGACTGATTTGGCAGGGAAATTGAGCCTATTTATTTTCCTAAATGTTCGCTTCTAATTCTAATGTATCAAGAAGAAACTAGACATTGAGTCATTATTCGCTTCAATGGAATGCTTAGAGAACTAACTATAACAAGGACATTTGGCAAATAAACAAATAAAGCTATGTTATCAATAAGAAGAATCCATTTCAAAATCTGGAAGGGTTCCTGTGGATATAACCATTGCTAAATAGTACCATTTTAACTGCAAGGCTTTAAAAAATCTTGATTTGTAAGGGATTTGAGGGGAAAAGAAAGCAAATTCATTACACTGAGTAATCAAAAACCTGTCACATCTGACATAGCTCATTTAGAATACAGTACTTTGTGAGATACTAAGTTTTGCTCATAATCTTGCTTTCAAATTAGTTACTACCAAAAGATTGGTTCAAAAACGTCTGTGCTGCAAATCATCTATTCACAATTATAAGAGGTTTTGTTAAAAGCATCCCAAATTAATTTCTCAGAATTAATTGCATTAAGAATTCAAAACTGGAAACAGGGCAAGCATATTTACTTGCGCTGTAGAGATAAAATGTTTTAAAATATTCACCGCCTTGTTTTTGTATTTTGCAATAATTTTAATAGTACACTATTTTAAAACTAGTCAAAGCTATGAAATCATTTTAGGGCATAATCAGATAAATCAGCAGTACTGTGGAGACAAAACAGGATGTAAATAATAGTAATATTGAAACTGTCCAGTAAATAACTCAGGTCACCCACCCACTTGTTTAGATGGGAGATCTACTTGCCTCAAAGGGTCACACATCAATGGCAGAACAATTCTCTTGGGAGACAGTTACCATGTGTATACTTTGAGGCAGATTCTATACCATGTAGCATATTTTATTTAAACTACACCCAGATTAATAGACTGAATGTTTTATTTGTCGAGTAAACGGTCAACAATAACAACAATAATCACTCTGGATTAGTAACTGAAAAGAAACTAACACTGCTTACTCATCCAACTCTGCATGCTCAAGACTGGCAGACATGTAACACTTTAAATATTCTCTGCATTGTTTAAAAAAACAATGAAACTAAGTATTTTTTTTCTAGTTTTTTTTCCAACTTTTGAAACACAGGGCTAAATATTTGAGGAACCATACATTTTCACCTTTCAATAACAAGATCATTAAATTTTATACCTTATATTGTCACCTGGGGAAAATTTCCTACTACAATAGTCAAAACAGATCCATATTATTTGCCTGTGGCAGATTTTACTTCAGGTCATTCTAAAAAAAAAAAAAAAAAAAAAAAAGAAAGAAAGAAAGAAAAAAGCACTCTACCCTGCAGTCAGTTGGAGTCTTGGTGCTCCACTTCTGACCCAGTTCTCTGAGGGCAGAAGATGGAACTAAGTCTTAGAACCCCAGCTCCCTACATGGGAGAACTGGATGGAGTTTCTGCTGATGGAGTTTTTGAACCCTGAATTTCATTAGGCCCAGATTTGGCTTCTACAGGAATATGGAAGGAAGCCTATGTTTTTCCTTCTCCCTTTTTAAATCATTATTTATACTGAATACAAAAATATTTATATATAAAGAAAAAAGAGTTCTCATAGGTAAAACCAACCTATGTGGAACAGTTGTTTTCTGTACCTTTTATGCATAAAAAAAAAGCTGTACTCTGAGCCTAACGAACACATTTTACTCAAAGATTTAAAGACATTATTATATAAAATTTCAAATACATGTACAATTAGAGAAAAGTGTAACTCTCTGTGTAATTTCATTCCTACATCAATTTTCAACTCATGCCCCAATCAAGTTTCATCTATATGTTCATTTGCTATCTTCGTTCTTTATTGTGAAGTACATATTTCAAGTAAAAAATTCACCCATAAATATTTTAGTCCAGGAAACTAGAAATAGGAAATCTTAATTAAACACTATCCCACTCAATCTAAATCATTAAATTCATTTTATTTTTGAGAGCAGTGTATTGTACAAATCATCCTGTTAAGTTACAGAGCTTTCTCTTAGAAACACCCAGGATAATTTACATGCTGCTCTGGGTAAGGAAGGCTTTCAGTTTGATCAATTTCCTCATAACCACTAACTGATAACTTCCATTTTCATCTACTCTTCAAAAGGTTTTGCTGAAAAGATTGCTTTCATTTCCTTCTTCCCAATACAAACAACAGTTCTAAATAATACTAGAAAAAGACTAGAAATGGTTTATGCAAGACTGAATTTGTTTTTCTCTATGTATCCCACCTGGAAATTTTTATGTTTGTTATAAAAAAAATTGTGGATGTTTATCCAACAGCCATGTTATAAGAGTAGTTACTACAAAACAGAATTTTTGATCAGTGTAATTCAAAAATGACATTCCCTGTTACATCAACAAAGTAGCTTCTATGAACCACTATTTTCATTTTCAATTGGATCACAGTAACTGCCTCTGCTTAATGGCTTTTTTTCTAATCTAACTACACTCATCAGTTTTTCTTTATAAATTTACTATTATCACATGCAAACTCAATATAACCATAAGTTCTCAAGTGGCACCACAGTTATTCTGCCCTAGTTTCTGTGATGTAGTTGACCGAATACACATAAAGAATACTGAATTTGGGCAGCAACTCATGAGCATTGTACCTTAGTAATTAAAATGATTTAAAAATGTTTCTGTTAACATACACTCAATATACCAGACCATTGGTAAATGCAGAAAGACCAAAAAAAAAAAAAAAAAACACCCTTCCTTTTAAAAATTTTCAACGCATTCATTTTGTATTGGTGCTAAGAGGAAGTATTCAGGACTCCATTTATTCTAACTGACTCAGTAGATTTCATTTCCTCAAATAAAAACTTTGAAACAGAAATTTTCAACAAATACTACATAGATCTAAAGTTTTACTCAGATTTTTCATTAAATCCATTATTACTACAAGGTATACAATGTGAGGTAGTCCTAGAATAATTTAACAGAAAACCTATCACTAAAATGCAAGGTCTGGGTTTCTCACAAACATGTTATATGAAAATCCAAATGAATATTTTACTACCATTTCAACATCGTTATCATCACCATGGATAGAACACATTCTAATACTGTTTACATAGTCTAGAGTAATACTCTCTTATAAGCAAAAGAGTATACATTGGCACACATTACCTCTCATTAGACTTACTTTACAAACCATTCAATTGCTGTGTGTATCTACATGTGTGACTTTTTCTACCACCAGTAACTTCGAATTTGCACTAGTTTGCTGTATTTTCATGTAGTTGTGAAACTGGTATATATCTTTATTCCCTAGCAATCTGTGTTAACTATACATAAAAAAGTAAACTAGCAGATGCCTGAGTATATACCAACTATGTTCACAGAACAGTATTTGCAACAAAATTAACCTGTTCAAGGAATGAATAAAAGAATAAATGAGAATAGTTAATAGTAAATTTAACCTAAATGCTCCAAGTAGCAAAGTTTTTTTTTTTTTTTGGTTTTGATTCTGTTTTATGATGAATAAGGAAACACAGCAGACTCTCAGTTTTCATCTAGCAGACTTATAAAGATTTGTGCAGTTAACCAGTAAAGCAGCATAGAAATTCTAAATTAGGACATTGGACTGGACTTCCTCCTGTTATTGCCATGTGACACTAAACAATTTGTTGTAGTATGTAATCAAATAATTCAAAAATTAAGGGATATTTCATATATTGAGTGAGAAATTATTTCTACATATAAAGTGTTATATGCAAACTTCAGTGGCAAAATTACAATGAAAACAATCTCAAGAATGAAGAAGTATAGTAAAAAAACTGAGGAAGCATGTTATCATTTGATCTCCTATTTTCAAGGCAATCACACTGTGTACTGTCATGAATAAAATTTGAAAATTGAATAACTAAGAATTCATAAATCAACTGAACCTGAAAACAGAAGATACCATCTAAGTTCAACTATTAGTTAAAATATTAGGAAAAATGAAAATTCAAGGAACTGGTGGAAACATTATAAAGTAATTCATGTGATCTTATGAGCTATAATATTACTACCTACTTAGCAAGAAGAAAATGGAAAGTTTATATAATTTCATAAAGGTCATACAGATAAGCAATACTGGATAAAAATCACAAAAAACCAAGTGTGCTTTATGAATCTAACCATTACTTTACCACAATATAGTATTATAAGCTCAGTTTTGTTATAAAAATATCATAGCTGTAAGACAATATCTAGTGGTCCATTTTCAAAACAGAACAGAAAATTACTGTTAGCTGATCTGCAGATGTGGAAAAGCTCAAAAGAATTGTGAATGTGTGCAGTTTGAACGTTTGAGTTATCAAGGCCTTCAGTTTAATGGAATCACTTTAAAACACCTAAAATACATATAGAAAAAATCTATGTCAAAATCAACTGCAAGTATTTTCAGAAGGCCAATATCTACTACTGTCCAGACAATGGCAACACAGTATGCATTCACCTGATTTAGTCATAAGACTGAGAGGCAAACCTTTTCTCTACAAGACCTTATTTTCTTACCTTATTTGACTCAAAGATCTTATTTTCTCCTACAGTATCACCATAATTCATGATATCAGTGTAATATTTTGGACAACTTTGGTGCTCTGCATTATTCCAAAAATCTTTTATTTTGCACACTTACTATCTGTGCTGCCGAAGCGAGCACTATTTTGCCACATTTACCAAGAAAAACATGACACATAATCAGAGAGAAATGATTAAGTACATTATCGAAGGCAAATATTGTTTTC